AAGGTCTATAAACGCCTCTTTAGTCACGAGTTTATTTAAGTACGTGTTTAAAACGAGTGTCGAGAGGAGTTTATAAATGTATTACATATTATGCTTTTTCTGCGAGTTCAAATTAAAACCATGATTAACCAAGTCTCGAAAATACTTAACCAAAACTTTTTCAGAAAAGGAATCAGTGGCCTTGCAGCTGCTACTTACACTGCCTCTTTGATTTCAAGTGCAGTGCCTCTGAAAATGTCTACATTTTCAATAATGTCATGGGATGCCCGATAGCAGTTTGAAATGACAAGTAGTAAAAACTAGCTCGATTTCAGATTATTTTTAGCCAAACCGTGTTTAATCAACACGAAAGCTGCCGAACGCACTCAGGACGTGACTAATGGGTCCGATCGGATTTTCGGGCCGTATGTAATGAGGACAAAGTCATGGATTTTGAAACTGTGATCAAAACATCGTTAGCACACTGCATTATGTTCGCTACACAAGGTTTTAGATTCGGAATTAGGAAAACTTTGTTTAATATGTACACGCTTGATGTAGATATGTGTAAGTAAGTAATTGCAAGGCACTTCCAATAAATTTTATATGTATATGTTTTGTGTAATTTAAATACGTGGTAAAAATAAATATTTTGTATTATGACAACTCGATATTTTGTCAAATTTTATGAATTCTGTTTTAATAATGGTTAAATAAGTAGTGTGGTAAAAATATGACAGTTTTTTAGTGGCTTTCAGTCCAACACTATATTTTAAAAAAATATTGTTCTTATTAAAATTCCGAATACAACTTGCTAACTCTAAAACATTAACACCAGTTTTTGAGAAATTTTGAGTGCATAGGAATTTTGTAGTCTTACTATTTTTCTTGGATGTTTAGGTCGAGGTTACAGATTCATTTTAATAGTACTTAGTTAATAGATTTAAATAATTTTACTAAAAACCCCAAGTCTTAAAATGTGGGTTTAAAAAATACTTCGATGGTCACACGTTGGGTTAAAAAATTAAAAAAATATGAAATTGTTCCCCGCATGTTAATATATCTTTCTCAATAATGTAGGTACTTACAATCAAAATTTTACCACATTGATATTTCATATAAGTATATAATATTGAAGTTGTATTCAAAATCCCTAATGAAAAAGTTACTTTTTCCATATTTTCTACAAGAATAAACGGAATTTAATAAGGTTAACTGGAACTCTTCTTTGATGCTGATATAACTACTACTATTTTTGTAATACCTTTAACAAAGAATATAAAGTAAAATAGCAACTGATTTTTGCAAGGGTGGTTCAGAAGTTATGTTTCTACAACTGAGTCTTACGTGGTCATACTTTTTGCCTTTTAAAATGTGAACGTTTATAAGATCTTCCTATACTTCATCAGCTAAAATACATTAGGAAGGTTTGGTCCTTTTGTACTAAATATAACAATTCACCATGCTTGCAGAATGAATTTTCTGAACATTCCTACATTTTTAGTTTTAGCATAGGGTAAATGTGTACAAGAGTGCGCATATGTATAAGAGTACGCACTGATGATTTCTGCTTATTAGTGCCATCTGGGTAAGATGAAGTTATACCATTCAGAATTTAATGCTAAACCTGAGATAAAGGTGCAAAAGTGACCTGAATATAGTTTATAGTTTGGTCGTACTGACGATTTTATGTTCACACGTTGTGTGGATGTAATTTTTACCGCTCATAGTTTTAATTTTTTGTAAGGTACGTACCAGTTCTTTTATTTTACAGTAATAATTTTCATTAGTTGTAACTTTTAAGGTGTCGTTATACACTAACAGTTTTACACTTTCTGTCCATCAAAAGCTTTTAACTTTGAAAACATTAGGTTATGTACAAATGTACAAGAGTGCGCAGCGAGGTATTGTATAAGAGTGCGCATTGCTTGCAATACGTAGTCTAATAGTCTTGGAGATGCATATCATACGATAATGAATTATTTAACTCTACTACTTTGTACTGCTTCTCAAGTTGTGTGGTGGTGGTTATGGTGACTTTTTTTTTTTATTTTTACTTCCTGAGCGTGTTGTAATCGAATCCGTCGACCGACTCTCTATTTTTACGTTTTCTCGTCTTTTCAAGACCCCTAGAGTACGAAGAAATAGGTCTCCCGTTTTATGTGTAGTCTGTAGTCACTTATTCCCATTTATTTTCACCTTAGAAACAAATATTTTTTCATAAAATGTAATGCGTACTCATAAGCGTTCAAATGCGCACTCTTGTGCAATGAACTGTCTAAGAGTGCGCATTTACACATCTTGACAAAAATTGAAATTACTCTTAAAATATAGTGGTGTTGGGGCGTACAATTAAATATATCTGATCTCTAAACATGTATATAACGAACCTATATCATAAAATTTGTCTATCCAAAAAAATTAAAAAGTTGTTGACAGTTTTACACTCAGTGCGTACTCTTGTACACATTTACCCTAACTATGGGATATTTCAAGTTGATGTTGCCATACAAAGTAGCAATATTATCCCAGGTATGACTTTAATGATGGTGTTATGTGTTTGAATTATTAGTAATTATAACAGCTTAGATGGTTTATTTAGATTGTTAATGTTAATAGTCGGAATACTTGTTACTGTAACTTTTAACACATTAATTTCTACAATATTGGTGCCGAACCATATATTAGTAACTGAATATCTTCTAGAAAGTTCCTATGTATATATAAAGATCTAATGCAGATAATGTTATAATGTTATAGTTAAAGGAAACACAAATTCTTCATAATAGTACTGAGTACTTTTATAATACACATTTAACATCGGCTTAGCACAATGTTCCTCTGTTAACGCACCAACTCTATTTTAAGATTTTCTGAATAAAATGGAAAAGCACGTAAGCCAAACTGTTCTAACAAATTGTTCGAAAATCATATGAACGTTCTGTCCAAAAAATATTGTTATTTTAAACGTAATAAAATATCTAGGACGTGATATCATTGAACACACAAGCAACACATCGTTTTTAGGAGTTACTAAAATCGAATTGGAGTCTACAGTCAAATAATAACGTTAAAATTTAATTTGTTATGTTAAAATTAAACTAAGTATATATTTATGTATATGATAAATAACAGAAACACAATTTCCGGGTTAGGACCCTATAATGTTTGAAAAGGGTTTCGTAATGAAAATTTCGAGAGAGAAGAAAATGGGACTGCAAGTGAATGTATTCTTTTAGAATTCCTGCAGATGTCTCTTACGAGTGTGCGAAAGATTGAAATAATTTTTAAAATTCAAACGCCGAAAACGTCCTATTTTTAACTCTGTGAAAGCATTCGATTTCATATTAATGTAAAACGGCGCAATTTTCCAGTCACAGTTGCCTTACAATAATATTATATAAGACTTATAGGAGACACTAAAAAAAGAATACATTTATTATTTGAAATAATTGATAATGAATAAGTTCTGGCAACTTATTACAGTCGTCAATTCCAACATTACATTAAGCTTAAAAGAGCAAGGAAATTTCATCTGTTACCTGAATTTCTTGCTTGATACTGAAAATTTATTTTTACACATTTACTATTAGGATTGTTATTATTATTTACATTTATTTAGTGTATTATAAATAAATAAATAATTTTGTTTTCATATAACATTTAATGAATAATGAATATTGCTATTATTATCGTCATTGTTACTACTAAACTTATATTTATTTACAGCTTTTCTGAGCTAAAAACAATGTGTAAATATTCCATTTCAATCCAAATAACTGCATACTCTAAATTAAAGTTTCGTATTCTTTCTTACGTTCTACTATATTGGGTCAATGAGTTTCCTCGTTACGGTTACATTTTGCTCATTGTCAAGAAATCTTTAGTTCTCATTAGCTTTAGCTCCACGGTCAGCTTTCCACCAAGCTAGCAAAAGCGCACAGGTCCTCTCGCCAACATGGTAATATAAACAACGTATTATTATTATATTTATTATTAATCCTTATGACAATAATCTTAATATAAAGAGATTAGTGCTTGACATATGTAGATAAGCATCAAGAAGCTGTAATGACCAACATTCCTGACCAGTATTTGTTGTTATAGTTTAATAGTATCAAATTAATACATACACCCAAGTATTGTACTGTTAAATCTCTATCAGTACAGCCACTATGATGAATAATAGGCATACATTTAATCGTAAAAATGAGTCATGATTGTTCATAAACATCTACCAACAAACAAAACGATTTAGCTCTAAAATACTTATCAAACTTGTTTGATACCATACCTATCTAATCAAGCAATATAATATTGATTCAAATATCTTATACTTTCAAGAATTTCAATAAATTAATGGTTGCAAAATATAAGAAACAGACAACAAATTCAAAGTTAGTTAAACAAGTAGCATATATCTTAACTATACCAAAACAATGTGTATTTACAGGCGTGCACTCTTGTTGCCTTGCACTAGACACTAATTTATTTCGTAAAACTCTTATGCAACTATTCGATTAAGAACAGAGTACACCAACCAAACATTACTACCCTAATAGCAAAGATTAGGTTTAACGGAAAATAAAAATGTTGATTGTTTTTAGTGATTTAGATTTTTTTTTTTTTTGTTAAGTGAGTGCGCAATGTTTTACAGTTGTAAACGGCGGGCTCATACTCTAGTTTATAAATTAATTTTAAAAAGTTGGTAGTCCTACTCTTTTTAGACTAACGAATTATTTACAGTTGTGTACAGCAAATACGTAAACCTGCATATAAAAATGTCAATATTAGTAACCGAGTTCTGTCTCTAATAAATAAAAAGTTAATAAAACTTAATTAGCTGCTTAAATATAATTTAAATGACAGCTAATGGTCTATAAATGTTGGCAAATTGTCTTTATTTTGATTATGATTAAACCATATAGACACTTAAAATAAACATAAAATAATTTAAAATTTTTCAACACGTATATTAAGAAACACAAAACCATTAACCTCCAAATGTCAAAAAAACTTACCCCTGTTGCCAATTCCTGCTGAAATCGATGGCAAATTCACAAAAATTCTTAAACTAAGAACAAACAAACAATAAGAACAACAAAACTTGTCACTAAATGTCATTCACTGTTATGATGAAACGAAAATAGGGAAGTTCCGAGCTTAATTGAAAGTGTTTGGAAAGCTAAACGGACGACGATGAAGCTTTCAACCTTCACAGTAACTGACTGAAGACTGTGACTTTGAAAAGTTTATGCTCCGCCCTGAGAAGGTGGGGATTAGCTTACCTCCTAAAACCACATTGCTGTATCTTATTACCATAAATTTGTGGCAGATTTTAGATATCGCCTGATAAACAGGTCTGATACATTTTGCATTATTTGGTTACTTTTGCTAGTTACTTTTCACTTTTGCTTCATTTCACAGAGTATGTTCACCTCAGCGTACCGCGTTGATGCTCATTTATTATTTTCTTTACTACTATTTTATATTAAAAAAATAAAATTGTCCCTTAGTATATATTAATTATTTATTCTATGACTTACTGGGATACCGTTTTCATTCTCTTTCGGTATCTTTGAAACGTTAAAATTAAATGTTATTTGTTGTTATAAAGAAAAAAATCTTTACTGTGTAATAATCTTTTCATCAAAGTATGACTTTGTTCATGCATCTCAGTCACACCTCGTTTATGTTGATCAGATAACATTTGAGTATCTAATTCAGAACATTATAATAATTAACTCTGCACTCACGATTTCGATATATGTTGGCATAATTTGAACTTTGAGTAGGCTTAATCAAGAAATAACTAATTCGTCATGTTATAAATTTGCAAAAGACAATTATTATTAAAGTAAGAACTCTGAAAAAAGTCATCATTATTTCTAATTGTAGTATTGACTTATGTTTGAGTAAAGATTCAGAGTTAAGATTTTTACGGAAAGTAATTTGAGTTATCTTTTAACGATTTTATTGAAGGTTATGTCTTAAATTAAAGAATATTTCTTAAAAAAAATATTTTTGTACTTTGGTCGGTAATACCTATTGTAGGCAGCTACGTAAAAACAGACATTATTTACTTGACGCTTCTAACATTTGATTACTTGTTCATTTGCTGGTTTTTATTGGTCGATATTCGTCAACATGCCGCAGTACCTAATTAAAGAAAAAGTCGAAATTTCCACCAGGTACCTTCATTAAAGGGTTATTGACAAAAGACTTTGCGCAAAATTTTGCTGCAGCATTTCCACATCGTCTCTTACCCGTCAAGTGCTCAATCTAAACAATTTTTGGCAGAGCTAGTTATCTTTTATTTTTTTTCATTTATGTCTGAATTCCGTCATTCTGTTTCTTTTCCAAAAACTGCGATAAGTTAAAATTATGCTGTCAAAAATGACAAGCAAAATTGATAAATCAAAACCTTTGATGATGCACCAAAATCTTTTAACCAAAATAATGTTAACTTATTAACAATTTATTGCAAAAAGTGGTAGTGGAAATTAAAGAGAACCCTAAGCGTACTTCCATCCCAGCGAATCTCATCTTCGGGTCTTCACCCTAACAAAAGTTAACATGGGATCTAAAATTTAACATGGGAATCCCTACGGCCCCTTTTAAAAAAGGTGCACTGTGTATTAGCTGCAATAGTAGCTATTATAGGAACAACAGTTTAATATTTTGTGACACTAAGTTTACTTTATGAGTTTATGGAAAAAATGGGATATTATTCCTGTTGTTTTTTATGTATTTACACCGTTCCATTAGTTATAAATCTAATTTTTCTAAATAAAACTACCAATAAAATCATCGGATCTACTGATGTATTTATTATTTTCTGCACGGCATGACTGTGATTACTTACATTTCGAAATTTATTGTTTACATAGGTATAACTGAATTACTACCCCACGGCTTATTACAAATAAAAACTTTTTATAAAATATAGAAAAGATTTACACATTTCTCACCATTATAAAGGTTATATAGACAGAACTTCTTCGAAAAATTATAAAATTCGATTTTATGAAATTTTATTTATCCTGAACTATGACCAGTTGGCGAACGTTCCTCTTAGATTAATATAATTTAAGTAATTAATAAAAACTGACACAGACGACAGACAGACAGAAACAGGAGACCTATTTTTTCATACTCATTTTTAATGGAAGGTCGAAAATGATTTATAACAATACCGGATGGTCCACCAGCAATAAATAGCCTGAATAAATTTGAAGCGCAACCCAAAATACATTTTCACCACTCTCTTGGATATTATTGTAAGTAATTACAATTTTAGCATTAAACATAGTAACCTTAACACTTGTTAAAAGATTATTAAAAGTTTTGACAAAAAGTTCAAATTAAAACATAAAAACCCGTTTTATTTTTTACTAATGCAATAAATATTTGAAGTGTTGACCCATAGCAATCTGAACTTCAAACTTTGACGATAAGTTTAAAATTTGTCAATTTCTGTCATACGTATTTGGAAAGAAAATGTATTCGAATGACGAAAAGGCAGATATGGTGTTAATTTACGGTGAATGCCTAAAGAACGCGTCGTTAGCAGCCCGTGTTTATTCACAACGTTTTCCTTAAAAAAGAGCCCCTAAAGATACCATATTTAAAAGACTAGAAAGTTTGTTGAGGGAGAACTAGCCATCTACAAAAAAACCCGAAGACGAACAGCTACCGGTGTTGAAAATGAAGTGACAGTTCTAGAAATGGTTAACGAATACTTAGTGCAAATAAATTCCATCCCTATCACCTGACTATGCTTCAGGAACTAAAACCCACTGACCACCCAAGAAGATTAGCACTGAGTAATTTTTTTAGAGAAAAACACAATTTAGATCCTCGTTTTTATGATTTCGTTCTTTTTTCCGATGAGGCAATATTTTCGAACAATGGTGGAGTTAATAAATATAACTGCCACTATTACGCCCAAAACAACCCTCACTGGATTAGAGAAGGTCACTTTCAGACAACTTATGCTACAAATGTTTGGTGTGGGATACTCGGAAACAACATTATTGGTCCTTACTTTTTTCGGGAAAATTTAAATGGAAATTTAGATCTAAATTTTCTTCGTTATACGTTACCGATACTCTTCGAAAACATTAATTTAGAAATCTGTCAAAATGTATGGTTCCACCAGGACGGCGCCCCTGGATGAAATATTTCCTAATAAATAGATTGGAAGAGGTTCGATTAATCCTTGCCCCACCGGAGCTGTGATATGACACCCCTAGATTTATTTTTGTGGGGCACAGTGAAAGAAATGGTCTACAATATTCCAATAAATAGTGTCGACCATTTAGAAGAAAAAACTACAGAAGCAATAAGAGCCATTACTTTTGAAAATAAATGCTTACCTCCAAAAACTTATCCTTTATTTTACTACACATTTCAAATTAGCTGCCCCCGTTGTGAACCACCTTCTGCACTTTACGATACCAAAATATTCTAATATTTAGGACGGTAGGTAAAGTACCAAAACCCTACTTAGATATGCCCAATTCGGCAATAATTACAGACAATATTAGCTTGAAGTCTGTATTAAGCAAAACAAATTATTATCAGTTACTTAGCAATTATTAAATAGGTACAAGTTCAGTCTTTTTTGTTCCCAAACAGTTAGCTTCTCTTTAGTCCTTTCACTGCACTGCAAAACGTTTTCATTTGGAATATAACGATAATGTTTTCGAAAAAAAGGATGACCTAGATAGCAGTTGACTCTTCTACAACATTTAGAGAGGCACGGGTTTTTCCATTGTGTTTTCATTGCATATTCTTTGCATATTCAACTTTGTTTTCAAAACATTCTTGCATGTAGCTTTCTGCTATAGCAGAACTCTTCCAGCCTCCGTGACGTTCTTCTAAATGCATGTCCTGTGTAATATTCCGTACCTTTGTCTTCTATATCCTCCATAGTTAAAGCGCAAAGTTCTTGCTTCCTGCAGGGTCCGGCTATGCTCATTATCATAACTACCCAAAGATCAAAAATTTATTTGTTTTTTATTGATGTTTAAATTACAATAGATATTTTCATTATTGAGAAATATTTGTCAGGAGCCTCTGCTGTACATGTATTCATATCTTGTTTAGAAAATACCAGCGATTTTTTGGGGTGATATCCAGCATTTTTACTTTTTAGAAATACCAATAATTTCGGTTATTTGGAAATATCAGTACTACCGTCATTGAAGTTGGTGATACATCTGATCACGGAGTATTCAGCCCAAAGGCTGCCTGGAGACTACAACTTTGCACTTCGATATATGAAATATGCTAATACGGTCTTTTCTAAACTAGGCATAAGCTGCCTCGTACCTTGGTTTAGATTTCTCTGGAGCCAAAAAGCTGCATTCAATTTTTTAAAACTCTATAATATCACTGTTTTCACTCTCTTCTTCGTCTACATTGTACAAAACTAATTCGAAAGTTTTTTTCTTATTTTTGACAAACTTATTTATTTTCACGTGGTGCGCGTCCACCATGATAACCATACAATGAAAAAACTGTCATGTTTTAAATCTGCTTCAGATTAACGAACGATTTCTTAACCGATCGTGCGAAAAATAGACTGGACACAGCGGGTGTTAAGCTCATTTAAATGTCTGGGGTATGTTGTAGACCCCGACCTAATTACAAAGTCCATACCCTCGACTTTGTAAACACAACTTACCACCCTAGATACCCACTGGCAGTACTATAACGTATTTTAGAGTTTATAAAGCATTGTTTGTAAGCTACAGGTGTGTATAATTATTCTGACGAATTTACATTGGTTACCCGAATAATATACTCGTATTTATATTTTAGGGTTGCCTAGATAAGTCTAGTAAAAACACCTATAGTACATATAACTGTTAATCAATTTCAACGGAGTGCACCATAGGATACCAATAAGAAACAAGTGCTTTTCTTAAGTCAACGTTTCGCTTCCCTTAATGGAACTTCTTCCAGGATTGTAAAATATAGAAAACATAACTTTAAAAATAATGTGGTATTAGACCTGACTACTTAAAATTTATCATCTAATAAAATACTAACAAAACATAAAATATTAAAATGTTGTTACTATTTTGTTAGTATTTTATTTGCAAAATATTATGCGTCTATACTTGGGGTTTATGAAGCTAGCGCATTTTTAAGACCCATTAAAAATCCAACGACATCATCAAATCCCGCTTGAAACATAATCATAACATGT